CTGCATGAAAGAATGCCTAAAGTACAACAAGTGTCACTATGAGTAGGGGTATATGAGGACAACAGACACTAGGGGACACCTGAAGCTCATCAGTGTTTTTAATACTCTACTACTGTCAGAAAACAAATCTGTTATGTACTCCTAATTCACAAGACACGTCTTTATGAGCATTCGAACACTATTAACTAAAATGCAATAGACTTGTTTTTTCTGTTCTTTGTGTCTCTAGAGGACGGCTAAATGAGTAACGGTAAACTTTTATCTATTCTAAACTCCTCTGAAACACTCAGTGACGGCCTGGTGGACAGCAAGCCCTGACCGGGTAATTAAAGACATAGGGAGAAGAAAGGCCAGGCAGACTGACTGGAAACCACCACAAGCCCTTGAAGAAACATCTGTGTCCAAGAAAAACAAGGTAATTATATGGAAGGAAGGAGGAACTGCTAAAGTATTTTTCCCTCAGAGAGAGGCACCATGTCTGCCATAGTAACATCCCGCAATCCATGGAGACCACTATAGTGGCAGGCAGTGACTCGCTGTCTTTCAACAGTCCCACTCTCCAACCCCATTCTACCTGCTGCACCAGCATCGCCATTTTATCTTAAAGGACCCATATTCTGGAAAAAACGGATGTTCTGTACTTCTTTTTAATTAAAAAAGTGTCTGATGTAGTATGCAAACACTGTTAGAGTTTCAATACATTCCACATATGGAAACTAAACTAAGTTTTGAAATAAAAAAAAAAAAAAATGATATTCACATTTATCTGCCTAATCAGCCGTCAGCATTTTAGCCCCACCCATTCATTCTGAAGCTCTAAGGAGTGTCTAACTTTTTGAATGAAGGGAAAGTCAACCAGAACAGAGCTCATTTACATATATGAGTCTTAAAGGCACAGCAAAAATGAACAATGGCAAAAAAAACGACAAAAAAATTAGAACATGAACCCTTTGCAATATACCTAGTTTACTGCTTTTGGCATACTTCACACCGTTTTATGGCACCTAAACTTTTGACATTTATTTTTAGTGTATTACTGACTAATCTGGTGGAGAAAACAGGTAAACAAACCAAAAAACAGTGCAGAAAAGTGTGCACTGTACTGTGATACTGAATTCTTGTACACACTGAATACACTGATGGTGTTTGAGATCAATTTGCATATAAACCTGAGAACATGCAGTGGTTTCAAGCATCTTGTTCCTCTTTGGATCAGTCCTTATATCAAATTTACATTGTCAGACAACATTCTCATGCCACAATGCTGAGAAACGAGACATTTCCTGTAGTTACTATACTGCTAACCTAACTGTTCATGTAAACAACCCCAACACAGTAAGGCATACATACAGATGCTGAGTAAACAGATAAGCTGTGGGCACCTAGTCTTTTAGCACATTTCAGACTGACCATGGTGATCTGCTGACAGTCAAAAGAAGTAGATGCTATACATTTTGACACAGACAATATTAAGAATATGGTTTAAAATAATACTTTTGGAAGTACCAAGGAACCAGTTTTGACCCTTCATAATAAAAAAAATAATAATTTTAAAGAAAGATATTACATTTTACATCTGCCCAAACATCCTTGGAGAACACAGTGAATGCAATTTAAAAAGTTGAACAGACAGGACACATCACCAGTGTCCATGATGTTCATTTGATCTATTCATCCTAGCCCAAAAAATAAATGAAAACAGCAAAACTGTTGTGCCACCTTTAAAGGAAAAAAAGCCTTCATGATACACAATATGTCACAGTATTCATTTTTGGACATCTGATAAGCTGCAATAGACAAAAAAGAACCAGCAGAGGCACATTAACTATTAAAAAACAATACAGAGTACAAATGATCTGACATTTCACATACTGTCCACCACTAAATCAAATTAACCAGGACTGATTATGCGCTCTTCGTAACAAAACATGCAGTTGGTTAGTCTTCTAAAAGTACTGCTGACATCCACAACATACTCAAAAATAGTGTGACATACTGTGATGTAATTTATCATAATAGCGATAAATATCATTATATGGCCCAATCCTACACTGGTTGTTGATTGCAATCTCTAATTTATGATACATGCTGCGTTGTAGAAGTACTGACCATACCCATGATATATTATGATATACACCGATCAGGCATAACATTATGACTACCTCCTTGTTTCTACGCTCATTGTCCATTTTATCAGCACCACTTACTATATTAGGTGCATTTTGTAGTTCTACAATTACAAACTGTAGTCCATCTGTTTCTCTGCATACTTTGTTAGTGCACCTATATAGTAAGTGGAGCTGATAAAATGGACAATGCGCGTAGAAACAAGGAGGTGGTCATAATGTTATGCCTGATCGGTGTATATCGTCAGACTTGCCTACCTAGGAGTGTATGAAGAGGAGTAGATGTAGCTTGATGTGGCCCACTTGGAGGCCTGGATGGGGTTGGTAACCTTGGCTAACAAGAGGTGTGGTAACAGCCAGTCTGTGGAGTGCTGCCTCTGGGAGGACAATATTTCCAACAAGAATGCCATCAGAATTCCAGACATTCCATGTTTTCTCTCGAGTCATGTGGTTTAACGTTAGAAGAGCGAGAATTAGTCAATACAAGTGCGTCAGCTTTTCTTTAAGGAATGTATGCGACAAGTCATCCCTAGTCATGCCTCTTTCACTATCCTGCCCAATGAGACTGTGAGCCATTCCCTCTCAGCGGTGTACAGTGAACAAGCCAAAAAAAGAAAAAAGGCATAAAAATATGGGTGGCATGTGATGCTTAGTCCAGCCACGGAAAATACAGGTCTACACATGGAAAAACAATTCCAAGACCAGCATTACCTGTGTAAAACACAATCGCTCCATCTAAAAAAAAGCACACATACACAAGAGATCTGGGCTGTATGAGTAAAGGACTTATGACTGTTTACTGAGAAGTTTCTATTAACATCCACTTTATAACTGTTAAAATGCTCAACCTAAGACTGAAACTTGTTTAGAGAAGAAAATAAGCTTTTTAAACTAAAATTTACAATATCTGTCTGGAGTCAAACTGGCCCAACACGATAAACATCACATTTTAGATATAATAATGTAATATTAGTATATTGCAATTGTTATAACTTAATGAAACCAACATTACATCATATCAATAATCAAATACACTGCATTTTATTATTGTCATGGAAAGAAAGAAGGTGTTAAGAAAGAAAAGCAGGGAGCTGTTTCTACAAACATATCAGCTCAGCAATATGTATAGTCTGCAAATATGTGGACAATGAGACAAATTCTGTTGTTTTGGCTTTGCACTCTACTGTACAGGATTTAAAATTAAATGACTATAAGGTAAAAATGCAGAATGTACGCTTTCATTTGAGGGTGTTTACAGCTATCTTAGGTGACCCATAAAGAAATCACAGGGATTTTTGTAAACAGTCTTCCCATATCAGGGGGCCAAAGTAAGTGAATAAATGAACAATCAATTGATCAATGGATATTTGCCCTGGTGAAGTCCTGCCAGGCCTCTAACACAGCCTCTTTTTTGGTTATTTTGGGGGCTTTTTGTGTTCAGTCTAACCTTCAGTCAGTGAAACACTGCTCAGTGGGGTTCAGGTCAGGTGACCGGCTTGGCCAGTCAGGAACATTCCACAAGATGCGTCTGTTTCAGAATTCATCCTGCTGTTGCTGTCGACAGTTGCATCATCAATAAGGACAAGCAATGTAGTTCCAGTAGCAGCCACACAGCCACCCATGCCAACATGTTTCACAGATGAGGTGTTTTGCTTTGGATCATGACATGAGCGGTTCTTTTTTTTTTTCCCCCTCCATACTTTCCTCGTTCCATCAGTCTAGTAGAGGTTACTATTGTTCTTATCATTGAACAAGATGCCCTCTAAAGTCCAAAGACTCTGAAAAGGTACTTTTCAAGTGAACTGTAATTTAGACTTTCTGTTCTTTAAGTTTAACCAGTGGTTTGCATAAAATGGTGTTTTCCCTCTTTTCATGACATGACAGGATTTTTTCACGATGTATTCTTTGGTCATCCTTTACTATGGTCCAGCTGGTTGTTTGTTATTGTCACCAATGTGTTTTTGTTCGATTATACAGCCAACAATTCTGACACACCTGCTGTTTTAGCCATCTCAGGTCAGATTTTTACTGGCATACTGATTTACTGGACAGGGAAAGCAGCATCAGACAAAAGACGCAAAAGCCACATAATAGAACTAACCTCTGAACCTACTGTCGGCTCTTTCATGCACAAACTAACAATGAAACTACACAGTTGGCCAAGAAAATACTGAGGAGCCAACTGACCAATTACTTCTGGTCACCTGAAATGGGAGGACTATATATATAAAAACAGCTGCAATTCCTACACAATTCACCCAGTATGGATTTAGATACCCTTTTATTAAAGCTGGTAGTCTAAACTTTGACTTCAGAATCACTGTTTTGTTTCAATTTCAATGACGCATTGGAGTAGAGAGGCAAAACAGAAATGAGAGTAAGAGAGAGAAAGAGAAAGAGAGAGAGACGTGCCCTGTTTCAACCCCATTCCCTCATTGCTCTGCAAATGAACTCAGATGCATTAGGTAGTCTGAATACGCAGACTGCATGAGGATGAATTCTGAGTGACCCCTTTTATTTATTCATCAAGTTATTTTTTAAAACTAGAGAGATGAGCAACTAACTGCAGTTAAGGCCGAGATGACTGGACTAGACCAGACAGCACACATCACACTGACCTATTGTCAGCAAATTCCATCTTGCAATAAATCGTCTATAAAAACAGAGACTTGAAGCGACGGAATGAGCATGAAGCACTTATTTCCATCCAGAAAAAGTTATAACATCAGAGCAAAAATCAGCCTGAAACGTCTGCAAATTAAGCAAGCAAGGTCTTCTGGACACATAGTTCAGAAAGCAGACACAAACAATTAAATACAGACAACCGAAAGCGCAGACGGCATGAAAGCATCTCAAAGTTCCACTAGGCCTTACCTTTCTGACAGTGGTTGGAGGTCCAGCAGCGGTCCCTGCTATTATCGTTGAAGGTGGTCTTGATACATAGCGGTTTGTCCTCCATGATCCCTGGGCAGACATCTCCACACTCTTTGGCCTTCTTGTTTCCCGCAATGATGTTGTTAAAATCAGCATCCATAATGAGGGACCAGTCAACAGAATCCAAGTAGCAGAGCTCCGGGTTCTTCTCGATCCGTATTGCGCCTCGAGTGATGTTCCGTAAGCTGTAAAGGCCAATGTCCTTCAAGTTGTTCATCTCAAATATGACAAGGGCATAGTTGTAGAAGAGATTGCGGCCTCGGATGACCGTAAGGTTCGGGAAAAGGGTGCTCAGGCTGTCCAGACCAGCAACACGGAAGAGGAGAAGATAGTCTGTAATCATGGTCAGCTTGGGAAAACTGAGGGTGCGGAAGACCTCCTGATTGTTGTTGTTCTTGCCTCCGATAAGAAGAATCTGCAGGTAGCCCTCAACCACCGTACAGTTCTCCAGTTTCTTGAAATCGCTGATTTCGTTTCCAATGTCGATGGCTGGACCACAGACTAGAGGAGGAAAACAACAAATGTTTATGCTCAGTGAAAAGGCAGCATTCGTTAATAGCATTTTTACTTCATGCATACTACTTTTATGTACCATTTGCAATTTGTCAAGACCAGTGAAAGCAAAGGGTTAACCTACATTATTACACGACATGGCGAAGAAATAATGAATATAATAGAATCTGAAAAGCAAAAGCATCGCTCTGCTGGTAGACTGAGACCGCAGTGTCTGTCTGCATACTCTTCCATTTTCACACTGCTGAGCAAACAGTGCTATCTTTATTACTTTGATGGCACTCCAAATCTCTTGTTTACATTTGATAACCTCATCCTGCCCCGCCACCGCTAACTCTCATAGGTAACAAGCTTTTGGCACTCCAAAACTAGGTCAATCACTGATGTCGCCGTTTGGAATTAACACACAAAAAAACCTGAATGCCTAAATGCCAGAGCAAACAATAACAGCCCAAGCCTGGCAGCCAGACCTGACTTAGTAAAGAGTAATGGAAACGATGGCATTTACAACTCTAAAATGACACTGTATTACATGCGGTGAGGTAGACCTTGATGACACCAGCTATATACACATGCAAAACTCATGTTGTACAGATTACTAAATGGCCATTTCAATAGTAGTCACTGAATCATTTAATTCTTCTAGCCCAATTACCAATTTCTTGCATAATCTACATGAAATAAAGATTCTTCAATAATTCTTCAATGACAGTCTAAAGACCCAACATTCACAAGGCAGGAGCAGCTGTGGTCTGGTAAAATTAAATAAGATGAGAAAGATTTGACTGCTAAGTGATTAAAAAAGCTGATTCATGCACTGATACACTTGCAGCCACTTCAATGCGTTAACCACAAAACAATGCCAGTGGTTTCCACATGTTAACATGCAGAGAAAGACTGGAAATTCTTATGACCTGCATAAACTGGTCAATGTATGGCATTTTAAATCAGAAAACAGCCAATATTTCTGTCAAACAAAACAAGAACAAGAAGGTCAACCAGTTCCAAGCATAAAACGATAAGCTAGTCAACCACTTTTCTGCCACACTAGGAATCTTTTCCCTGTCCAAGCAGCAAAAGGTACGTTATACTTAGGACCTCGATGGCGAACCTCCGCTGCCACCCTGCCCTGCAACCACTGGGGTTAACAGTAAAACCCAATTACACATGCTTCACAAACTCCTCACTCTTCCAATCAACAGAACCAAGTCTGTTTTGCTAGGGAAGGTGTTTTTACATGTTCTATTTTAAAACCTTAACTTTTTTTTCCCCCCCTTGATGAACTGGATGAATCAGGGAGTCTTGTTTGCAGTTTACTTGGAAACATGGAAATTTTGTGGTGGCGAAACATGAAGGGAAATGCAAAAGCTGCCCTCTTTCCCCTCCTTTCTCAGCATTGACGAAGTTATTGATTTAAAATAGACATATTACGTGGTCTATGCTCATACAACACACTGAAGTGATTACATGTAATGTCCCTTCTTTTGAAATTAATGACGGCTGTTTGCGCTCTCCTTCCTACTTAGCGTATTATAGCCAAAAAAAAAGCTACAAAAGCTGTAAACAGTCTTGTAATTTGGTCAAACAGCATGAATTTATCAGATCTAGCTAGCCCACACTGACAAACAAATAATCCACAAGGTATGTCTTCTATACATTCATCCAAATTCAATCAGCCAAAAGGTTACCCCATGTAAATAAACACAGCTATTAAAATTAATTTAAACCAGTGATTTGCCCTCTGTGTCCTAAACACTTAAACCTGTATCCTAAATGTGATGCATTTCATGACATTGTGATGAAAAACCAACAGGAGAAAAACACATTTCAGGGCAAACTCAGCTTATATCAAGTAATAATGGAGCAGAGGTTAAAAGCCTACTTTGACCACCTTTCAAAAATCTGAATACTCTGTCAGTTTAGTATAAACTCAACAACATCCTTCACAGTAAACAATTCAAACAATCATAACAGTTGGTATTTCACAGTCAACAACAGAAGTAGTTAAATGTCTGCTTAGACCATGATGTCACAAATGTCACCAGACGTTACAACAAAAAATATGCCATAGTGACAGACTTGGACTGTGGCCTGACCTATATGAAGCAAATCTGCTCAATGACAGAGAGAATATGGTTTACTCCATTATGATTTACTGTATTCATTTGAGTCTCCATTTGTGTGGTAACCAAGCCATTTAGTCATTCAAAAACTGGAAACCGTTGGTACGAAGCTAATCAAGCAGCTTACTAGTTTTAACTATTCCATGTGGAGATTTTAGTGGTATTTGGGAAAACAACATTAACTAAGATCTTACTACTGTTCTTATAGGAAATGCCAAGCCTATAGTGTGCTGAGTCTATTATGGGTTTTATTTCACATCTAATGACCTTATTTAAAAGGTAGACTAACCTTGCTAGCTTTTAACTCATAATTTTGACTTTTTTTTGTTATGAAAAGGCACATATCCTGTATTTTTCTCCCAGATGTCCACTTATGTTATCTGGCTGCGTTCCTTTACCAAAAACACTCATAATTCACTTTTACATGACCATTTTCCATCTTATATGTATCCCCTAGAATTAAACAGGTTACACCTTTAAGACTGACATATGTAAATAATCTGTACTCTGGTTGGTTGATCTGTATTGTGCAGCACTCCTTATAACTTCAATGTAACTTGCTAGCCTGAATAGATGGGTATATGTATATGCGTTCATGTTTGTGACATGACAAATATGCAAAACATGCTGCTTTCCTTGCTTAGTTGCCATATATGACTGGGAGTGTGTGCAAGTTTCGAAACAGTGTTTATTTTTTTAACGTTAACATTTCCATTATATAAGCCCTTTAAAATACTTCATAAACAGCTCTTCGCTTGCTGCGTCCTGTCTAAAAGTCACAGGTAAAAGAAACAAGGCAATTTTCTTCTTTTAAAGCAACATTTTTCACACATAGGTGCCTGCAACTACCTCTGGAAAGCATTATTCAACTTCCAATTTCTATGACTTGAGCTACTTACTTTCTCCGTTTGCGGGCCATGGGCAAATAGTGGAGAGGGACAGCAGCAGACCACAAAACAAGGTCAAACGATTCCTTGCTCTCCAAGACCTCATTCCTGTAAACACTTGTTTTCTTTAGAGTGAGAGAGAGTAAAGAAAAAATAAAGATTCAGAAATGAACTCGGCGGTTGGAGCTGAGGCTGAGGTCTGTAACGTAACGTACTTCACAGCGTTTTGTTTTCTCTCTGACTTAAAAAATCCGAAACTGAGCAAAATTATTTTAATTTATTATCTAGCTGGCTTGGCTTTGGTTTTCTCCCTTGGCGAAGAAGAAAAAAATGCTTTTTCAGTCTAGAAAAGAAAAACAAAAGCCGAGCAGCAGTGCTGCTGAAGCCTGTAGGAATTCGTTAACGTTAGTCCGTTGCTATAAAGTGATCTTTCAATCCAGTTAGCTTAGCGTAGCTTGGGTTAGCTTAGCCTACCAAACAAACGTTAGCTCGCCTTTTCTTCGGCATGGACCGCCAACGGGCGTTTTAGCGCTACTCGGTTCCGTTTACTATCCGTGAAAGACGCCGAACGAGGGATATAGGAGAGAAAAACACGACGAGGCGATTTGGGAAGCCGCATCTTCGCATTCCATTTCTTCGCAACTCTTCGGCGCCGAGAGCCGAGCCGAGCCGAATAAAAGCTTCGCGAGACGCCGGCCAGGCTAAGCTAAGCAGGAGCAAAGCAAAGCTAGGCTAGCTGGGTGAGACGTGGATGCGAAAGGAGGGGGATGCGTGGTGATCTTCATAGGCAGCAAGGTGATTAGTTTTCCTCAGATGAATGGAAAGAGGAAAAGTCCTAACAGGGAGAGGAAGATGGACGGAGGAAATATGTAAATAATATCCACCAGTCGGGGCTGGAAAAGAGAGGCTTTAGCCAACTGTAAGCTCTCCGTCCTCCGTTTTCCCCTCTCTCTCCGCTCGCCTTTACTCCCGTCTGCTCGCTCTGAGATTTTGAATTACGTTAGCAAGCACGCTAAGCTACCCAAATTTTTTCTTCCTACAGAAATGGGTGCTCCGTTTCCCTAATTCCCAACCAAATACGTTTTCATTGACAGGTCTGAAGGTACATCCTTCTCGCTGTTATCACCACCGTCCTCCTCGTTATCATCATCTCAGATAAGCGCGTAGTAAAGTCCTGTATCTGCAGCTCGGCTCCGCTGAATCGTCGCTGCTGTAAACAAGGCTCGATTTCTCTTTCACAGATACACACAGCGTTAGTGGGTTACGCTGGTTGAAGGCGCACGGAAAAACTGGAATGGATCACAGCGGGATTTTTTCTTTTGGGCTAGAGCTGTTTTTGTTCCTGGTCAGTTTTCCAGTCAATGAAAATCAGCACCTCTCCACTTGTAAGAATCAGAAATGATTCCTTTTCCTGGAAAGGCGAATGTCTATAATTTAGCCCTATACTTTCATTAAACATCTTTTTCATATAACAGAAGTCTCACAGAAAAAAAAAAAAACATTTTCAAAGCTATTTTGCTTAGAAATGAAATCTAAAACTCATACTGGAGGGAATTTAGAAAAAGTAGTTTTCTGTTAGCCGGTTGAAAAACATTACAAAGATGTCAAAAAAAACTCTACTATTGTACTATTTTTCCTACTTTTTTAGTACTTTTTTGTTTGCATCTTCCAAAAAAAAGTTGCATTATGATTTGGAGACTAAGTGCAAAAACTCCACTATTGTACTTAAATATTGTACTTTTTTGGTATGTTTTTTATTATTTATTTATTTATGTTGCCATTTCCAAAAAAACAAAGAAAAATGATACATACATACATACATACATATATGTATGTATAAGTTTTATTTATTTGTTTGTTTTTGTAAAACTGTACCTATATTTCACATAGGTTTTTTTGGAAATGACAAAATAAATAAATAAATAAATAAATAAATAAAGTACAGTTACACTTTTACAGTTAGGTTTTGACCATTAAGGAAACAGAAGTGTAAGTTTGTTTCCTACAGATTTTCACACTAATTCAAATCAGTGAATCATTGTCACATGGAAATTTACCCTATTAAACTATTAAATAATACACATTATACATGAAGTACTTGCTTTCCTTCTGATACTTAAGTGCACATATCACTGGCACCAGGCAGTGAATTCATAACCATTTCATGTAATAATTTTCTGTGAGAGAGCTTTTAGAGGTGGACGTCTGGTTCCTATCACCACCACTGTGAACAATTCTGACTCAGTAAGTTTCTCTAGAATGGAGCATTTCACACCAAACCACTCTGAACGACTTTGTTTACATCTTAACAACGTAATTATGCAGACATTTTGAAAAATTGGTGGAATTTCCCTTTAACTGGTGAAGTAATGACATTATCTACATAAACTGTTTTGTCTCTATGCTTCTGTGAAGGCTTTACTCTAGATGTTGGAACACTGTTGTGAGGAATCGATTGTATTCATCCACAAATGATTTGATCTGGCTCACTGCAGCTCATGCCCCCCCTCTTAAGGGGGGCATTTCAAGCTAAGTGAGTCAACAATGATTGAAAACAGAAAAGAGGCTGAATAACATTTCTTCATTTATTTCATTTACGTGGTCATTTGTATATTTTCAAAGACGACACCTCCCAAGACCCCTGGCAGTCAGAGACGCCTGGACACTGGCCCCAACGACCTAGTCAGTCATTTATCCCTGAGTAGGGATGGATGACTGACTACTGTTACTAATTGACAGCTGTGACTGTACTGTATTTTTACCTTCATTTGATTCGGTGCATTAATCACACATACGTAAACTGAACTGAATAAGGAAGCGTGTGCTCTTTCGTGCACCGACGGCAGTGACTGCTTGCCGTACCTCAGGTTATCATCTACATAATGACCTCCAGGACCATGAGTGCAAATTACAGTCACTACTCAGCAACAAACCTTCCAGTCAGTCAGTGGTTCAGTAAATGGCACCTTCGTGAACGAGATGGAAAACAAGATCTTCTCATAAATACCAGTGCATTGTGGGAGTGTTTATATTTTTCAAAACATGTTGCTGACTATTTTAGTAACAGTATCCTGAAAGGATCTATTTTGGAAACACCTGCGAGGGGAATCCTTGGCAAAACATAACAGGAAACTAAACAATATTTGAGATGTAAACAATGTCATTCAGTGTTTTGATGAGAAATGATTCACTGTAGATAAACTTACAAACTCAAATGTCTTACAATTATTACAAACATCTTTTTCATATGAAAAAAGCCCTGCAGAAACAAATGTATTTTAAAAGCTGCTTTGCTTAGAAATGTAATCCAAAACTACTAGTGGAGGTACTTTAGAAAAAGTGGTTTTCTGTTAGCTGGTTGAAAAAAGTTACATTAAGAAGATGTTAGTCCAACACCTCCACTATTGTACGTAATTGTACTATTTTTCCTATTTTTTGGTACTTTTTTGCTGCTTCCTAAAAATACAGAGAAAAGGGTTTTGTTCAGTGTTTAAACAGTGACTTTATACACACACACACACACACACACACACATATATATATTTATATATATATATATACATATATATATATATATATATACACACAAACATGTATATATATATATATATATATATATATATATATATATATGTGTGTGTATACATATATAGTTTTTTTTAATGTAAGTCAGAGTTTTTGCTATGTCATTTTGGGACATTTCTTTTGGTCTGTTCATCATGATGAAATTTACACACATGCTCAAATGATGTAGAAAAGTAGAAATCGAAAAAAATGGAGATACGTATTTTTTTTTTCTTGGACAGCATATATATATGTATATATATATATATATATTAGACTACCATTGGCCATTAAGTACAAGGTATTACTTTTTTGGGACATATTTCTGAGGACATATACATATACTGCCAAAAAACAAAACCTGGTATCTCCATTACATACAAAATTTGAAAATATCAGCTGTGTTAACATTTCTTGATGAATGGAAAAATAGAAATGATCTGAAATGTGAAAAAAATCTACTTCAACTAAAAGTCAGTAGAGTTTTTTCCATGTCCTGAAAACTTGCCATTTGGGAGATACAAGGTTTTGTAAGCTCTGTGTTCTTTTTGGTGTGAAAATAAAGATAAAACATCAGTCATTAACTTTTACAGTTAGGTTTTGACCGTTAAGGAAATAAACCCTTGGACTCGATGAAACATCACAGGTTAGATATGAAATACTTACTTTCCTTCTGATACTTCAGTGCACGTGTCTCTGGCACCAGGCAGTGTATTCATAACCAAAAAGAGCTGTTTTACTGTTACGATGTCAAGCTTGTAATAAAAGAAGAATCTTTTTGGTGCTTTACAGAACCATTTTCAGTTCTCAAAATGTTCTATATAGAACCATATGTAACACATTCCCCATCAATCTGAAGAACCATTTCACCATGAAAGAACTCTTTAAGCATGAAACGGTTCAGTATAGAACTCATAGTTCTATACTGAACTATTGCCTTTACTAAAGAACGCTTGAAGAACCATCTTTTTGAAGTGTGTATGTAATGTTGAAGGTAAAATATTAGTAAATCTGAAAAAAAAGTTTTTTTTTTTACATCGACCTGCATGTTTCTCTCCACCATTAATGGATTTCAAAAATACAATTTAGGTTAAACTGTGTTTCAAAACTAGCATAAAACAATATCTCAGCATCAGAAACATATTGATAACCATAATAACTTTCAGTGACTGAGCTTTAAGAGGCATTATACTCTTCAGATCCAGTTCCTTCCAACACTGTGAACAATTCTAACTCTAAGTCTTTCTAGACTCTAAATGACTTTGTTTACCTCTTAAATTATGCAGAAATTTTGAAACATTGGTGGAATTCCCCTTGAAAGGAATATTCTTTCATCCTTTCCCACCTAATTTCTATCTGCCATATCTGTCGAATTAAGACGGACAGTACACACTTCCCTGTACTTAGTAAAACAACTTATAATAGAAGACAATGGGCAGGTGCTGAAGCCACTCTTCATTGGCTTCTATTATAAATCAGTTTAGAGTCAATAGTTTCCCACTCTTTCCTAAACGCAGGGAAACGTCCAATTTATCGTCCGTGGTAACTGACCCTATGATA